CAAATGTTTGTTAGATAATCATCTGTAATGTGGATGTAGTTCAGAAAATTGCATCACTTTACTGTAATGCAGCCTTTAAAAGCAGGAAAATCTAAGGCGATATGTTGTCTCATATCACCATATCCATACAATATTGATGTAAGCCCAGCCCTAGGCTACAGTATGTTAATTACCAATAATCAATGACTCATTAAAAGCTCAGAAAATACAAATGCATGAACACACAGCTAAGGCAAATGGCACTTTGACACTCAACAAATAATGAAACACTTCCACCATTAAAGGTTCTAATTATGCAGGCTTTTCTGAAAACATAAATCACATGAAACTCAACATACAAAGCACTTCTTCCTATGAATGTCATGGGAATCCTAAAAAAAATGCACATGTCATTGTGAAGTGTATGGGAATTCAACATTAACTTCAGCCCTGTGAAACCCCTGCATGAGTGGAACCAAGCTCCCAGGAATGCACCAAGATACTACTATAATCTGTTGATTTAGTCGAGATTGAATTATTATTATTTTGGCCAATTAATCATTAAGAATTCCAGCATCTTTATTTATACAGCAGATACTTTGTCATGTGAAATATGGCCTCTTTGACAGAAGTAGGATAGCGAACATTCTTGTTGCTCCACTGACTCAATGAGGGGCTTTAGTTGATAAATGGCTGATGCAATTGAGATTTGAATGCCTATTGGTCTTGGTCATTTTTAATGGAATAACACTTTATTACAGCCATCTTGTGCGCCTCAGTGCATAGTAATTTACAATGAGAGGGTGGGGGGGAAAAAATCTAATTAAGTGATTGCATCAAAATAATTGGGTTTCAAATTTCCTACGAACGCTTTTAAGTTGAGAGTGAGCTCCTTCTTTAAATTGAATACAAGTGAATGTGTTTTTGCTTTGAATTGTTTGAATTTGGTTTCTTTCAAAAACACGCACAGAGTTGCACTGCGGCCGTTACTGTCCCTACAGTTCCATTTGCGCTGACCTCTTGATCCCCTCTTCCTCTCTGCTGTCATATTCACCGGTCTCCCTTCCTCAAGTACCCCCAGCGGTCAAGTCCATTACTGGTATCAGCACTTCTTATCTGCTGCACTGTGCTGTGGTAGCATCACACACTATATCCCCCCCCACCACCATCATCACCACCACACCCCTTATGATGCAGCCCAGGCCATTCACCACTCATGCAGGAGCCATGATGGCCAGGCTATATATCCCCCATTCCATCTGTAGCTGGCACTCTTGCATCACATTTGCTCTGCTCACTCCTCTCCCGGGCGCCTTTGCTCTCTCCTCCTCTCACTCTCGCTGCTTTGCTTTCCCCTCTTCTGGTAGCTCTTCTTTTCTTTCTCTCATTTTCATTTTAGTTTAATCAAATTCTTTTTTTCTGTTTTTCCTTCTCCCCTCTCTGTTTCTTTCCACCGTGGCCTGATTATCCCTTAATTCCCTTCTCCTTCACCTCTCACTTCTCATGTCTTTCTCTTAGTCTCCATCAGCCACCTCATCCAGCCCTGCAATATTTGCTCTTTGCTCCTTAGATCTGCTTTCTGTTTTGGCTAAATTCCTCACTTTTGCTTTCTCCCCCTAATAACTTCTTTCAAGCAATCTGTCATGCTTTCCTTCCCACTTAAATCCTCCCTTTCCTACATCTCCATTTCTATACCACTTTATCTCCCTCCTCCTCCGACTCTAATCTCCCATCCTGTCCTTTCGCTGCCTCCCCAGGCTCTGTGAGCTGTGGGTAAATAGGTGCATCTTGCCTTGCTTCCTCTTTCAAATGGCTCCATGATTGCTAATGAAGCACACAGACAAGAAAAAAAAGAAGAAGAAGAAAATAACGTGGAGGAGGAAGGGATGGAGGGAAGGAGTGTTTCCCATGGAGACGGGCCCTTCGGTGGCTGCCTAGCTGATTGGCTGATTGATGACCCCGTAGCCATGTTGACTGATTGTTATGACAGAGCCTTTTATAGCACAGCACAGCTTTATATGTGACCGCATAGCACAACATACTTCGATATCGAACAGTATGGCGAAGCATAAGCCCCATCCTGCTGTACCATACTGAGGAGGTGCAATACAGTACGGCCGAGCTTATGATAGAATTCCATAACACAGCTTAATGCCTAATACAGCGCTCGCATCTGTTCACGCAACTGCTCACAATCCCTCACGCTGTCCGCGTAGACACAACACACTGATATGTTTTCACTTGTTTGGACACATGCGTCACGTTAAGAGACAATTGGAAAACCGCTGTCTGGCTTTTGCATTGCTTGTTATCAAAACAATTAGAGGTGAATGACAGGAGCAGGAGGCATGCTGTCTGAGATATGAGTCAGCGCGGGGACAAATGGTCAGTAAAGTATGAAATGGGTGTGTCTGCTTGTGTTTGTTTTAATTGGAGAGCTGATAGTAGAGAGGCAGACAGGAAGCAAAATGAGAGAGAGGGGTATGACGTGCCACAGCGGCCGAACTGACGTCGCGGTGACGTGGTATATCATTTGGCAAACTGAAATGGTTATATTAAATGTGTTAAGTTGGTTTAGATTAATCATCCTGCTCCCCCTGTCTCTCACACCTTTTTCCTTTACCTCTCCTGCACTATGTCTGACGTAGCCCGGCACAACCGAAAGCACAGCTGATGCAAGAGACACACACATGCACAGATATCTGATCTTTCAAGCTCACTCTCGCACCTGCAGAAAAAGCTCAATATTTAAAACGCAGGCTGAGTCATCTACAGACAGTCTGATTCTTGCCTTAGTGACCAGTGGTGACAGCCTTGGGTTCACTGCAGCAGGTTATTTTTACCCCCAATTTGATGACAGTTGGTAGATAACAGTAAGATTTTAACTCAGAGATAATGACAATGAATAAGACACCTGTATCTGGTCCTTAAAAGAAAGGCGGTTTATTGCATTGCTGTTTAGGGACAGATGCAAAACTTTGTTTTATCTCTCTGGCCATCACTGTCTTCACATGCCAGATGTCCCTTTTTCTCTAATATCACAAACATACTCTGGTGTGCTGCCTCTGAATGTTTTTCAGGAAGACATAATTTATATTTCCCGTTTTATATGATTCAATTATCTTCCTCTGTGATGTGTTTTTCTGCTGCACTGCCCATGTTTTTACCCCAGAAGTACTCTTTCATCATTGGAATCGTCTGATCAATCATCATTAATGTAGCAGAATGTTCGGGGACGTTTAAATTTTAACACACATTTACAACAAATGCTCTCTTAGTCAAACATGTGACGCATTTCCAAGCACAAGATCTCCTCTAATGCAACTCAGATAAATATATAAATAAATAAAGCCTTGCACAATATGCTCACCCACCCTCCCTCCTCAGCTGTCCTCTTTAACCTCCATCTCTTACTCCATCTATCTCACACTCTCTCTTTTTTGTCACTTCCTAATTCCTCAGAGCTGGACTGTCACCGTCACAAACACACACATCACTCTCTGCCTCTGACAGCTTCTACTACAGGTTAAACACATCACAAACTCTCAGCTAACGATGTTTTTGTGATACGTCATGACAGCCCCCTCCCTCTCATTTCTGTTCAAACATTCTCCCTTTGCTAGTTCCTCTGTCTCAAACGTTGAAACACTGCTGGTATTGTTCTAGTGGCCCTCGCAGGTACTCTCTCAAACCAGCCCTCCATTTGCCACACTTTGTACTGGTTATATAAACTGGTGTCGTCAACTGCACTAGTAGGCCAAAGCTCTGCCTGCCAGCACAGGCCTGTGACTGTGAATCTGATAACGTCACGCATCTGCAGAGGCTAGTTGTTGTGTTTTTCCGATTAACGTGAGTTTACTTTGAGCTCGTGGAGCTTTCTAAGAGTTAATGAGAAGGTAGTGTCTGTGTTAGCTGTGATGATTCCGGTGCACACAGCTTGCAATCACTCCCCTGGAGTTCTTTTGTAGTATTCTCTTTGTCATCTCTCTCCCACATGTTGCCCACTCCAAACATGCTAGTCTGTCCTTGACTGATATGTGCTCCCGGGTGTAGTTGACACCACCTTTCTCTTTCTTTTATCATTTAAATTGACCAGTGAGCTTGAAACTCTGCCCCCAGTTTTGTCATTAAGAGTAACAGGAGAAAGAAAGGCAACAACACTGCTCTGTCTTCAATCCCACATGCCGAGGTTTCCAAAAACAAACTGCCTCGCCCGTCTAATACATGCGTACTAACCACCGTGTGTGTTGTATGTTATCTTTCTTTGTTAGGCAGAGAACAGGGGGGCTATATTATGATTGAGAGAGGTGATATTGTTGAAGATGAAAAATGCACAGTTAACAGCGAGACCCTGAATGCATTTGTCACCATAAAAAGCCCCCATACTGATTGATGAAGGCACAACAGCTGGCAATGCAATGAAAAGTGAAATGAGGATCTGTATTTTTTGGCAAAGTGCAAGACAGTCTTAACACCCAAACAGTATTTCACCTTCATTTATCAGCCTTTTCACTCATTATGTACATGATTCACAACACCAGTTTGTGATGTGGAAAAGGACATAGGTAACACAGTCCGTTTGCATCGTTGAAAAGCATTATGTAATGAGAATATCAGTTCACATTAGATGTTACGATAGCACTGCTTCACACCATTTCTTCATCTTTTCACATCTCAAAGCGTTTGTAGAACTTAACAAGTTAGATTAAATACACGCTTTTGATCAGCCACACCTCGATGAAGCACCACAACACTCACTGGTGGTGTTAAATAGACACAGAACAAACTCTTGTGTTACATATAAAGAATGTAATAAAAGGAGGTGTTGAGAGATGTAAAAAAAAAGAAAAACACCATCCACTTCTGCACCGTGATTCATTCTGCCTGAGTCATTCAGCACACGTAGGGTTAAAGTATAGCTGCAGCGTCTTACTGCAGTGTCTAAAGCATTTGGCTGATCGTTACAGTATACACCAGGAGAACAACTGAAGGGGAAAAAAACATCTCTCTCTAATACTTCCTTTTTTTCTTCCAAAAATCCTTTTTATTGCATTTATAACATTTGGCACAGTACAAATTCTTGGTGCTTTTACAAGATAAACCTGTAAAGATCGACACTGACCTTTTTTCGGTTTTTGTTAAAGAAAGTCTTCTCAGTATAAATATTTTTTTTTCTTATCACTGCATTCTCTGTAGCATGGTGTAAAAATCACACAGAATGCCCCCTTTTTTAAAACAAGACTACCCTCATTTGTCAAAGTCAAGACAGCATCTTAAACAACTCATTGTTTTAAATAGAAGTTACAAGTTAGAAAATAGTTTCAATTTCTTTTTAATATATGTTTCTCTATCACCAGCCCATGGTAGTTTCAATTTGTCCATATATATATTTATTTATAAGCATGTACAACAAGAAATCATCAGTCTTTTTAAGTTTGCACTCTGTACAAAAAAGTAGTTCCTGTCCTTTTTTCGTTGTGCATTCTATTGCATGATTTTATGAGGAAATGATGAAGGTGGGGGCGAGGGGCAGGGGTGGGTGGGAGCTAGGAAACTAGGGAAAGGAGTGGGAGCCTTTTGGAGGGGGGGCTTCTTAAATCTGAGTCTCCTGCACCTTCTCCTTGGTGTGAGTTTTTATGACAAAGGGCTCAGCCATTGCTGTGATGGTGCTGGGCAAGGTTCGAGGCAAAGAGTTCCCAACATTGTTCTCTGTCCATTTAGCCCCATGGCCAGTTGGTTTGTAGGTGTTATATTTGGGCTTTAGAGTGCTGTAGTCCACTTTGTGGGGGCTGTAGTCCACTTTGTGTGGACTGTAATCAAGTTTAGGTCTCTGAGTGTGTGGACTGAAGTCAGACTTGAAGGCGCTGTAATCCGCTTTGTGGGGGCTGAAGTCAGTCTTGAAGGCGCTGTAATCAGTTCCAGTCTTATGGGACGAGTAAGGGTCCTTGGGTTTGTAGGTACTGTCAGTTTTAGATCTCTGGGCATTGTAGTCCGTTTTGGGTTTAGGCTGAGTGCTGTAGTCAGGCTTATACGGGCTGTAATCAGGTTTAGGTCGTGGGTGAGTGCCAAAGTCTGGCTTGAATGGACTGTATTCAGCCTTGGGTTTATGCTGTGTGTTGTAGTCTGATCTTAATGGGCTGTAGTCGTGTTTAGATTTTGGTTGGGTGCTGTAATCTCGTTTGAATGGGCTGAGGTCAGTTTTCTGCCTAGGATGAGTGCCGTAATCTGGTTTGAACGGGCTGTAGTCTGATTTAGTTTTTGGGTGAGTGCCAAAGTCTGGTTTGAATGGGCTGTATTCTGCTTTAGGTTTGTGAGTACTGTAGTCCTGTCTAAATGGGCTGTAGTCAGGCTTTGGTCTATGAAGGCTAAAATCTGGTGTAGACTTGTGAGTACTGTAATCTGGGATGAATTTGTGGCTACTGAAGTCCATATTTGGCTTGTATGTGGTATACTCAGCCTTCGGCTTGTGAAGGGTGAAATCAGGCTGGGGTTTGTACTCGGCCTTGGGTTTGTGAAAGCTATAGTCAGTATTGTGGCTGATAAAGTCCAGTTTGTGTATACTGTTATGGTCCCGGATTTCAGGCAACGTGAGAGCCGTCTCTTGAGCTGCAGATGCTGGTGGAGGAAGGTCCTCCTCATCCACCTGGATAATCTCCACAGTGCGTGCAGCTGCCACTGTGCTCCTTTGCTGGTGGCGCTTTCTCAGTTTGTAGAAGGCGATGAGCATGACAGCAGCCAGCAGTGTCACCGCTACAAAGCAGCCTATGATGATCTTAGTGGTCTTCATCACTTCATCCAAGCTAGGGCCAGACTTGCCTGGCTTGCCAGTGGCACCTTGGAGTCCTGGCACCACTGATGTCTTTGCTGCACCCGATGGGCTGTCGGTGCTTTGCAGCAGCACAGTTGGCGTGGAGATGAAGACTGGCTGAAAGACTGAAGGAGAGGCAGTTGTAGTTGTTGTCCCCAGCCCTACTCCTCCGCCTCCAGCTACTCCAGCCCCTGCAGCAGCAGCTGTGGTCGTGGTTGTTTTAGGTTTGGGCATCTCAGTGGTCGGCCCCAAAACCTCCACAGTCACTGTGGTGAAGTAACTCAGGTTGGATGTATTAAGCTCAGCTGCACTCACATTGAGGTAGGCCGAGGCATTTGAGTTCCCAGCTGCATTGGACACCATGCAGGTATAAGTGCCTGTGTCTACTGCCAGTACATTTGAGAAATTAAGGGTACCGTCATTGAGGACTGATATTCTCGGGTGATTAGAGGCATGTGTCAGGATAGTCCCATTGGGTAGGAGCCAGCGCACTGAAGACATTAGGGCTGTGCGGCAACGAAGGTCAGCTACTCGACCTGCTGAGATGTTCAAGTCCCTTGGTGCATCAGCAATGAATGGTGCAGAACACTGGACTGCAGCGCCCTCACCTCGGTCCACCTCCACCAGCTGCCGGCCCCTCATGCTGGCAGGTGAGTGACAGCGCCCACAGCAAGTAGAGTTTGTAGGGATGTACTCCCTTAGCCAGCGTGCTAACCATACAGCCTCACAGCCACAGTTCCAAGGGTTATGGTGGAGATGGAGTTCCACCAGGTACCTGAGCGGGGAGAACAGATCATGTGGCACAGCGCTCAGATTATTATGGGCCAGGTTAAGCTCCACCAATGAAGATAGGTCGTCGAAAGCATTGCGCTCTATCACCGTGATTTGTGAGTTCATCACCCATAGCTTTTTCAGCGAGCGCATGCCTTTGAAGGAGCCTGGCTTTATCTCTGGGAAGTGATTTTCAGAGATCTCCAGCTCCTCCAGGCCCTTGAGGGGACTCAGGTTTGGCAAATCACCCCTTATGTTGCACATGCCCAGGTTGAGGTACTTGAGGTTTTGTAGGCCCTCAAAAGCTCCTTCTGAGATGTACTCCAGTTTCCGTAACTCCCCCAGGTCCAGTCGCATGAGGGAGGGCACCCGGTTGAAGGCGTAGGAAGGGATACTTTCGATGGGGTTGTTCCTCAGCCACAGTTCTCTTAGTTTAGACAGGTACTCAAAGGCCCCACTGGGCACCACTGTCAACCGGTTGTCAAACAGCTCCAGTGTGTTGAGGCTGGTGAGTCCATTAAACGCGCCCACCTCAATCTGCCGTATGGCATTGCGCCCAAGCTGGAGCACCTCAAGGTGGTGCAGGTGGCGGAAGGAGTCAGCCTGCACCGCCTCGATGGCGTTTTCCATTAGATTGAGGTGTCGCGTGTTGGCAGGAATGCCAGGGGGCACGCGGGTGAGGCCACGTCGGGTGCACACCACCTTCCCCTGCTGATTACTGCAGGAACACTGCGGTGGACAGCCCTGGGGTCCCTGAGACACCGCCGCCCCCGCCAAGGCCAGGGAGGCGCTGCTCCACGCTCGCGCCATCAGGAAGACTACACAGAGCAGGGCGGCTTTCCTGGCACGATGCACAGCTACCCGCCCCAGGAGACTCATGATGTGGCACGTTCATAATTCAGCATCATCTGGGGGGGAGGATGGGGGTGTTTGGGGGTGGTGTTTGGGGGCTTTGGGGATCAGGGGAAGTAGCTGGTTGGCTGGTAGTAGTGTTAAGGGGACCAGAGCAAATAAGTCAAGGGAACTGAAGAGGACAAGGGGAGAACGTGGGTTTTGGGTGTTTGCTAAGGGGGCAAGAGGGCTTGACCTATCCTCAATTAACCAATGCTTTTATTCCCATGAACTGTGTTCAGGGGCAGAAGCAGAAGGGAGGGTAGAGAGGGCTGGCTTTTCTGAAACGTGTGTATGAGAAGGACATGATGATAAATTAAGCAACCAAAAACCGTATTACAAGACAGAAGGGAGGGTTACAAATTGATGCAAAGAGGGGTTGAAACACTAGACACCTACCTCAAGTTATTATTACAGGTCCCTTGAACTGAGATATATAGTTTCCCTCCTGTTTGCAATAGAAAGAGCTGTGGTATTCACATCAGATGTATGTATATCCCAAGAGCAGCAAAGAAAGCCTTTTTATATTTGCTCTGTCAAAACAGGTATCAATGCCAAAGAGCTTAACCAAGATGAGCCCTTTTGTAAATCCACACATCCAAAGAGAAAGGTTCGAAAGGCCCTTTTGTGAGTGTTTTTTTCCCTCCCTTTCCTTGTTGATTAGAAAAAAACAAAAAAGAAAAAAAAAAGATTGCAGATAGGAATCCAGTCAGGCTCCCAAAGCAGCAGTGCTCCCTTGCTCGCTTCTCGCTGTCGGCTCCTCTTCTCTTGCTTGTCCTTGGAATCCGACAGTTGATCCCCCTGCTAGACACCTTACCCAGGTCTCCATAGCACAGGCGACCACACAAACACACGCACAATTTTTTTGCGCAACAAAAAGCCAAGGCAGAAAGGACGAAAAGAGGGAGGTAGGTGGGAGTGGGATTGAAGAAGGTTGAATGAAAATTCCACAGTCCTCTCCAATGTTCTTTTGCCTTTTGTTTGCGATGGTTAGTAGGGGAGGTTCACAAGCCGGGGGATAAAAAAAAAAAAAGACCCCCTCCTCTCTGTATTCCTCTGTTCACTTTTTAGTGGTCAATCAGTTGGTCGGTTGGTCAGTCTGACAGCCCTTTCTCGCTCTCTTCCCCTTGCTCCCCCTCTCAATGTGGCGTCGTGTCCACTTGATTTTTCTTTCTTTTTTCTTTTTTTTTTTTCTCTTCTTCCTCCAGGAGTGCTCGGCGGGGGTTGAAAAGACTAGGCGACACGCAATGCCTTCATTAGCTTCTTCCCCTTCTTAACTAGCCACACGCTCCAGCCTCGGCAGCCGTGGTGGCGACAGCAGCAGCAGCGATTGCAAACGCACACACACCATCCCCGCGAAGCACACAGCAGCAGTAGTGAGCACACACAGCAGCAGCTGCAGCCTGCCTCCCTTGCACTTCCCAATAATCCGTCAATTTCTTCAGAGGGGGAGTGGGGGTGGGGGATGGAAGGGGGTGCTGGGAGGAGTGGGGGTGTTGTAGCTGGGTTGATCGAGGTGGGTTAGAGGGAGGAGGGGTGGTGCGCAGTTTCTCCTTCCTCTCTCCGGCTTGTTTCTTTTTTCTTCTTGTTTTCCAGTTCTTTTTTCTCCCCCTCCTCTCCTCGCGGTGATCAGCACCCCCTCGCTAATGCAGCGTCCGACTAGGGAGAGGAGCAAGACAGGGAAGGCGAGCGCTGGGTGAGCGCGCGGCTTACAGGCGTGACGTTAACAGTAGCGTCGATGTGGAAAGGATCCGTTGTAGCAGCAAAAGAGAGAGCGTGCGCCGGCTTGGATCTCTCTCTCTCTCTCTCTCTCTCTCTCTCTCTCTCTCTCTCTCTTTCACTCTCTCTCTCTCTCTTTCACTCTCTCTTTCACTCTCTCATGCTCACTCTTTTCCTCTCCCTCTCCCTGCCTCCCTCCTGCTCTCTGCAGTGTCCTAAGGTAGTTGGGTGAGCTCAAAGCACTCAGACCTTTTTAGAGATCTACCTCTTCAAAAACCAGTTTGCTCCTGCTGTCCTCCGCTCCCTTTTTAATGCTCACAATCTCTTGTTCTGTGGCTTTCTGGGGCTTTGTGTGGCTTAGGGGAATAGACGGACTGTCCAAGCAAAAGGCAGAGATGGACAGTGGCATCCCCACAGCAACCAGATTTTAACCCCCTCCTCCCCAGCAATAATCCAGCCATTCCAACGGGTCTGGCAAAGCTCCCCAGCATTGCTGTGGTGGCAACAGCGGGCAGATGGGACACCGTTTCTGTCACTCTCTGGCTTCCTCTCCTTCTCATGATGCCCGCTCTCTTTTTTCCCCTCCCTCTTTATCTTTGATTTTCTTTCACTTCACCTCCACTTGCTCTCTCACTCTTTACGTTTTGTCCTTTAGTGGGGAATAGAGGAACATGAATGGACTGCTGACGCATCCTGCTCGGAGCAGTGCTTTGGTTTGATGCAGTGTGTTTTGTGCATTAACTCCCCCCCTCTCACCACCCGCTCCACCCTCACCCTTCCTCGCTGTCTTTCCTTCCCACTGCTCACTCTTCGTCCGTCACTGTGTCACTCTACTTCATCTCTGGCTGGCCTTTCTTTTTATGTACAATCCCCTACAAGTTGTCAGGACATTAAGAGCGATTTATGACACATCCATAATGATCTATCTCTTCACTAAAAGTTTAGATTGTAAGAATTTGATTAGATAGCTTTATTAGTGCCATAGATCAGACAGATGGACAGACACTTTGACTCACACCATGACAGGAAGCGTGTGTCTGTGATTTACAATCAAAAACAAAGTTTTCAGCTCTCTGTCTCCACCTTTTATCTTCATATGCGCTCTCCATCCCCCCTTTCATCATCTCTGCCTTTGCAGGTAGTTAGAGCACTCTAAACAGGCAGGCCTTAACCCTCAATTTGAGCACAAACTGTCGCTTCAGGAAGCACACAGCCATAAAGGTCATGTCGAGGAAGGCGAACAGGAGAAAACAAGACATGCTTTACCTTCCTGCCGCAGGAGAAGAGGCGAAACAAACGCATCCTACTGTCCCATCACCCTTTCTATCTCCCATGATTTGTACAAGCCTCATGTCCATTAAACTAGGAAGCAGTGTGGGTAATTGATGGATGGTAAAGCTAGCTGTGACAGTGGTGCTAGGTGTGTATGTATGTGTGTGTGTATTTGCGTCTGAGCTGGGGAGTAAGCGTGTGAAAGAGAGAGAGAAAGAGAGGGAGGAGAGAAAGCATGCCAACTAGAAAAGGTCACACTGCCTGTAGCGCAGTACGTTATTCCCACCGGCACAGGAGTATAGAGCCAACTCCTATATTATACACACACACATACACACACAGACTTTCTCCTTGACTTCACTGCGGTTGAATACGAATGGGCTTCAATGAAGCACATGTAACAGTGAGGTAGCAGCCACAGGAGTATAGGGGGGGATTTTCCTTTCTTGAGACAGAAAGGCTATTTCCTTTCTTTTCCACAGGGATTCCCTAGCAGTGACCATGTGGAGGGTGATATCAGATCAGAGGTCTGCTACACTGTTGCATCCTCACTGCATTCGCCGAGCAGGTTAAACCATGAGATAATGCAGGCTTGTATTCAAAAAGGCATGCAAAAGGAGGTTATTATACAAATATAGGCCATGCGGCAAATGTGCGGCTCCAAACAACAGTTCATTGATCTGTTGTCCAGTTACGCCAGCTGCAAATGGAGGCTTGTGGTCCTTTGTGTGATTATTGATGGCAAAGTACAGTGCGGACACTAGCACTGCTAGTTCTGTTTGTGTGTCAGATGGCGCGCTGCGCTGTAGGTGTGGTGTGCCACCGTTTGATGAGCAAGTGACCCAGAATGCGTTCAGGTTGTGCTTTACCCACCCAGCACTGTGCATCCCAGACTACTATCTAACCAAAATCATCCAGTGACCCAGAACATGAGCAACGCTGCCAGGACAGCTCCCTCCTCTTGGCCCTCACCCTGTCTATTTCTCTCTTTCCCTGTCTTTTCTATTCTCACTCTATTTTTCTCTGTCAGCGGACGCTCTGCTTTCTCACTACTGATGGACCGTGGGTCATGGCCTGCCAAACTCTGTAATGCTCCACTGACCAAAAGTGGTCAACCCCTTGCTTTATAGTTTGATCCTGGCCCGGAATGGCCAGCACTGCTTGATGGTCAGCCAAACTCTGTGATCACAGCAAGGTTTTCTCAAGGTCTAGCATGTGTGTGAGTGAGTGTGTGTGGGTATGTGTGCAACTCGCATGGTGCTCCTGACATTGGCGAAGAGGTAAGCCAGAAAAGCCTTTGCCAGTCTAGTGTGTTTTTTTTTTTTTTTTTTTTTTTTTTTTAAATACCTGGATTCCAAGTCAAATCTGATGTGGAGGTTCAGTGTGATGATGAATTTGTAAAACTGGCTAAATTGTTTAATTTTGGAGTATTTTTCAAGGTTTAGGTTATGTCAGTAAATACCAAGCAGCAACCTGCAGTACCTTGAATGGCCACTTGAGGCTGGCTCCAAAAGCAAGTCAATCCCCTTAGACCCCCAACAAGAAGATCTGTGTGGGTACATGAGACTCTAAAAAAGAGGGTGGATCATGGGGAGTACCACCAGTTGGTCCAGGAGCTTCACCTCCATGATGGCTGTTTCCAGGCATATTTTAGGAGGACTCGGGGGCGGTTTGACAACCTGCTGTCTATTGTCTGGCCGTATAGCTCTGGGTATCCAGCAACCTCTACCACCAGTTTCTCCTCCACAGGAGCTTTTTCACCTCGAGGAGTTCAGAGCACTCTGGCAAAAACGCAGTGTGCTTAAAGCGCAGAAACTCGACGCAAAAACAGTGAGCAAACTCCGCCAATTAGATTTTATTAAGGGTAAGGGTTACGTGTATTTAGGGGTGGGGCGGCTTGAGTGACAGCTTGTCTGCGGATATTACTGCAGTCTGAGTCAGATCCACCCATTGCTCATCCATAGCTCTACCCTCTCGTCCAATTATAGTCACTTTTGGTTCCAAAAAACCAAGGTGCCTAACTCAAGGCGTCAACTGGGAGTCCATAACTAAAAAAAGTTGCTGATGTTTCAGTGGCAACGTCCATTATTTTATACAGTCCATGATCTATATATTATCTTGACAAGAAGAGTGTTGTCAGGCCGTTCCTCTAGGGCTCGATGACCAGTGATGGCCTGACGAGCTGTCACATATGTGGGACCTTCACGCTGTTATGCCAGCCCCCCCTGTGTCCCTGCTGTGAGACCCAGTCCTCCCTGCTTCACCCAAGGCTCTATGGAGCCACCCCCTGCACCAGGCCAGGAGGGCAGTGGGTGCAGTTTGGGGCTACTGCGAGACCTACTTTGGTGTCCGCCAGTCAGGCAGCATGTTCGAGGGGTATATACAAACATTGCAGAACCCATCCCCTGGGGTGAGTGCCGGCGAATCTGGGCTGCGGCCAGTCACATGTAGGTCAGCAGCCTGTGTCTGTTTGCATGTGTGTGCGTGTCAGTGGTTCCATTCGGGTGAATGGCCTGCAGTACTGTATAGCAGCAATGACAATCGGAGTTTAGGAGCGCACAGGCGAATGATAGATCTAATGATAATGTCATTGCCTCTGCCATTGCCAGGATGAAGGATTTACAGTATGGGCCCTTGGGCAATCCACATATGGTTTTCTGTTTGTGTGTGAGACAGAGAGAGCTGTTTTCAAGGAGACAAGAGGCACACTATTTTTGGGCTTGTCTTGTGCTTTGAGAGCTATTACAAATTGTATGCATATGTGTGTGCGTTTGTGTGTGTGTGTGTCTTTGTGATTGAGCGTGTCATCAAAGCACCTAGTAATGTCCCAGTGGCCGATTGCATACCAGTACCCACCCTGGCACAATGTTATCTTAAACCAATTTTTCCTGGACACCATACTTATATGTATACACACACAGACACCCCAAACTCTACAATGCTGACCTTGAGGTAAAGGACCTGCTACTGGACACTTTCCTTTCCCATTTTCATTTCAATTTCCAGGAATTAATTCTGCAAGAGATTATGTGTGACATGCACACACACACACACGGACACAGACGCGCTGCTATCAGTGTCCCAGTAAAGGCTTTAAACTGCTTGGTAGGGATTTTTTTTCGGTTTATCATTTTTCTCATCACACATTGGCACAAACACACGCAGAGATGCACACACACACCAATCATATGCCAGTTTATCAAGAGATTATAATGGGCAATAGGGTATATTAGTGGCTTTCATATGCCCAGGTTGGATGAGTTGTTGTGTTTCATCCCGATAACCTGTTCAGTCTTGCTAGTCAGCTTTCACTGACCTTGCTTGGCCTCCTCTCAATACAGCATACAAATATTTACAACATTTTCAGTGTTCCCTACATTGTATGTCCTATGACATTTTCATTTAATTGATTTTAGTGGCACTTGTATTTAGAAACATCAATAGTAATTCCTCTGAACAGGTATCAGCCTATAAATGCAGAATCTCTAGGCAGAACGGTGGTGATTTACATTTGTAGCAGTAGCATTGACCGGCAATCTTGGAACCCATCGCCATTCGTCTGATGACTTCGCTTTAAATTAGCGTTTAGCTTTTAAACATGTATCTGCATTCATATCTGCATAATCAGTTTATAGACCCTTTTACTGTTAGTAAACAGTTTGGCGTTTTTTGGTGGGTGGGGCTTAGCTGGAGGCAAAACAATTATCCACGGACATTAGCTGGTGGCTTGTTTTAGACAATGGAGGAAGAAGATACGAGTGCTGCGTTCGAAATACTCATTCCAAGTGGACCGTTCGGAAATTCAGAGCATTGTCGGAATTTACGGTTTGGTTATTATTGAATGTGTGATTAACTCAATCATTCGTTAATTCATATAGCAATACAACGCTCTGTTTCTTAGACCAACAGGGCTCTCATTTCAGTGTAGACCATCAGACTGAATTTACGAATGCACCATGTCAG